CTAGGAGTTATGACTGCTCAAAGTTGGCCAAAAACTCACTGATTTCCCACACTTAACCAAATTTCCAGATTCTGAATTTTTCCAAAAGTGACTACTTCCAATTTCAAGCTTCTTCTTATTCATTTTAAATTGTCGGAGTTACACAATTAAAATGAAATTACATATAAACCCCTCATAGAACCTCATTATAAAGTCAACACAAAGTCATAGGCTCTTGCTTAACCTATCATTTTTTTCCCGAGTCGTTACAAGTAGATCTTTTTGAAACATATAACCGTTGAAGTCTAGGAATAAGTGGCAGGTAGTGCATTGTCTTGTGTGTAATCTTTTTCTTACTCTTCTTGCCTACACGTTTTTTATAATGAGGTTCTTTACAAAACTTACATTCTGTCATCTCTTTATCAGCCTTGTAATATAGCATACATCCATTAACACAACAATCAATTTTTTGGCTAGTTAGACCAATCCCCGACACTAGCTTCTTCGCTCGGTAGTAATCAAGAGGTATCTTATTATCTGGAGAGCTTGTCTCCTTCAGTAATTGAGTCATTGCATTAAAACAACTATTAGACATATTGTATTCAGATTTAATACTCCTCATTCTAATAACCACAGACAATTCTGAATATTCGCATCCATGCCATAAGGGATTCTGAGCTGAATTCAACATTTTGTAAAATCTGCTAGCACCCATATTCGGAGACTCTTCTACATTAGGTTCAACTTGATGACTAAATTCTACACCAGCAGCATCATCAATCATACCTTTATATCTATTTACGTGTTCACAGTTTTTTTCTAGAATGTTACATTGACTGCTTGAGGGCATGTCAAAGTCATATTCTTGATGACTACTTAAATCACCAGAATAGATATGTTCATTCAAATTAATTGAAGGAGCTTCCTCTCCATGTGACCTCCAATACCATTATCTTGGTGTGAATCCTTTTTGAAAAACATGCACATTAACTCCATTGGGTGTCAAGTGCTTCATATTTTTACAACGCTTAAAGGACACCTTATAACTTTTTCAAACAAATACTTCTGTTGACTACAAACAAATTTAATAAATTCATCCATTCCACTTATGAATTCATCAGTATATCCCGCTCGATCGGGGATTAGTCTATTTACCATCCATTTTCGATGCTCGGGGAATTTTCATTTTCTGAACCAAAAAATAAATATGTTTGTAAACACAAATAATGAAATTTAGATACTGTATGGTTCAACAATGGTTGGGGAAAGCTACTAGTTCGTCATAGGAACATAAAAATATGCACATAACAATATAAGAACAAGGACAAAAGAAAGCAAAACAATAATTGCTTGAAAAGGAACTACTTGAGAAACAAAACATAATTATTTGATCTATATACTTGATATCCCTGTTTAAATAATAAACTTGTCATCTCTGTCAGACAAGTATATCCTTATATTGGGTATATATCAAGAGTTAATGGAAAATAAAGGGAAGATGAAAAGAGAGGAACTTGAAAAGTTCTCTTATGCTTTAGTAAAAAAGGCATTTCTCCCTCATTGGTGGTGGAAAGAAAAATAGAAGGATTTAAATAGAGAAACACTTCTTTTATTTGTTAAAAGGGTTGGAAAGAGGGACCCCCCACTACAAAAGGAACCCCAATTACCAACAAAAAAATTCGTTGGTAAGTTGATCAAATTGATTGGTAAATTGAGTTACCAACCAAATGCCAACTTATATTAATTTGTTGCTAAAAGGCTCGTCGGTAAATATCACCAGCCGATTTTAATTTGTTGGTAAACTTACCAACCAAAAATCAGTTGGTAAACACCCAAAGATGTTGTTACAAAATTTTGAAACATGACCCTGAAATTTCCGTTGGTAAATTCACCGACTAATTTTTGGTTAGTATATCGTTAGTACCTTTACTAACGAATTGAAAAG